TCACTAGATATTCATCCTCTCTAGACATTCATCATCACTAGATATTCATCCTCTCTAGACATTCTAGACATTCATCATCACTAGACATTCGTCCTCTCTAGACATTCATCATCACTAGACATTCGTCCTCTCTAGACATTCATCCTTTCTACATATTCATCCTTTCTAGACATGCTAGACATTCATCATCACTAGATATTCATCCTCTCTAGACATTCATCCTTTCTAGACATTAATCGTCACTAGATATTCATCCTCTCTAGACATTCATCATCACTAGATATTCATCCTCTCTAGACATTCTAGACATTCATCATCACTAGACATTCGTCCTCTCTAGACATTCATCATCACTAGACATTCGTCCTCTCTAGACATTCATCATCACTAGACATTCGTCCTCTCTAGACATTCATCCTTTCTAGACATTCTAGACATTCATCCTTTCTAGACATTCTAGACATTCATCCTCTCTAGACATTCATCCTTTCTAGACATTCTAGACCTTCATCCTTTCGAGACAATCTAGACATTCCTCATCGCTAGATATTCATCCACTCTAGGCATTCATCGTTTTTAGACATTCATCCTTTCTAGACTTTCATGATCTGCAGATATTCATCCTTTTTAGACATTCATGGCCTTAGAGATTGAAGTATATAACTTATCATGAAAGTTTTAAGCATTGTTCTTGATAGTTTATTGAAATCGTATAGGTTAGGGGATACATGTTTATATTCTATTTCAAACTTGAAGTCACGTTAGTCGGAGCATCTCGTTGAAATTCTAGAGAAAATTCTTGTATATTTAAACGTTGACAGTTCATTAATTGAAACAGTGTTAGAAAGAATATAAGAGAGTTGTCCGATTTGTACGAGCTAATAGCGTTCTGAAATTGCCGTAGCAATGAGTTCTTTTGTTCGCAAATCTGACTATTAACAGAGTTGAGGTGAGGGTAAGTGTCCATATTGCGGTCCTTAACACACATGGGTCGTTTATGGTTTATCTGGTGTATGAATGTCTAAAGAGGATGAATATCTACAGAATCATGAATGTCTAGAAAGGATGAATTTCTAGAGAGGATGAATGTCTTGATAGGATGAATGTCTAGAATGTCTAGAAAGGATGAATGTCTAGAGAGGATGAATATCTACAGAATCATGAATGTCTAGAATGTCTAGAAAGGATGAATGTTTAAAGAGGATGAACATCCACAGAGTCATGAATGTCTAGAGAAGCTGAATATCTACAGAACCATGAATGTCTAGAAAGGGTGAATGTCTAGAATGTCTAGAAAGGATGAATGTCTAGAGAGGATGAATATCTGCTGAATTGTGAGTGTCTAGAAAGGATGAATATGTAGTGATGATGAATGTCTATAACGCGCGAAGATTGATATACATGTTGTATAGGTCAAGTTAGCGAAAATGTAATAATTCTGACATCCCTCCCTATTCATATTTACCAACCAATACAAGTACACTAATAACACCGTACCACCGACCTCCTTCACTTGTAGATGAACTTATATGTGCCTATGCCGAAGACGACAAAGTTCCTTGAAAGTGCAGTTAGGTCT